ATCGAACTCATGCGGAAGTGGCTTTAGTTTCTCAGTGCAGTCCTTTAACCCACTGCGCCACCAGGGAGGGCCTAATATACTACTTTTTAACTAATGAAGAAAAGCTAACCTAGGATTTTAAGAACTCTTAAGGGAGTAGAGAGGTAGGATGATTTTATATGATTCGGATTTTCACACAACGCCATCTATGCTTAATATTCATGAATACACAATGGATTAATTCTGGTAATATGTACCTGACATTGCTGACCAGAGAGGAGAGGAAATACTGATTTTCTTCAGAAATATTCTTAGACTGTTTAGGAATAAATCTGTTATCTTCAGCAATCTCCAGAGTTGCAAGCTTTCCTATTTTTGATGATTTATACAGTCGAAAGTTTCTGTTTCTTGTATAAACGCCTATATTAAAAATAAAACAATACGAATGTATATTTCAATGGTAAGTTGTTAGTTAGCAAATATAGTTTTTGCAAAGCATTAGCAGAAGAAACTATTTTCTGTATGTACCTGTAAACAAAATATAAACAATATTTAAGTTAAAATAAATTGGAGTTGACATGAGGAATGCAATTACCAGAAATAGGAAATTAGATACTTTGGGGGAACCCTTTCATTAAAAAACAGGAAAGTTAGCCAAACATATTAGCAAAAAAGCTTGAGACTACCAGAGAGCTTTCAAGGCAGTGAGGATCTATGGGCCTATATTCTCAGAAAAAAGAGAAAAGCACCAAAAAATACCTAAAATAAATCTAACAACAACAAAATCAGTAAAACATCTACTCTAGAGAATTTTTAAACATTACTGAGAAAAACCGAGAACTAAGTAATTGGAGGGATAACTACATTCACCAGAAGCCTCAATACTATAAAATTGTTGCTTCTCTTAAAGCTTATCTACAGATTCAGGTCCTCCCTGGTTGCACAGCAGGTTAAAGCACAGCACTGCAAAGTTGGCCTCAGCAGCTTCCGTGCGAGTTTGATTCCCGCCCCAGAGGTGACCCACGTGGTGAAGCAGACCTGTCTCAGCCACTGCTCCCCTCAGCAGTGTACTTCCTTGATCTGTCTGTTCTGCCCCCAAGTCTGACAATGGCGAATTCTCTCACTGCCCCTGCACCTCTGGTCTGTACCCCAGTTCTGTATGCATAAATAAATAAATTTTTTTTTAAAAAAAGCTTATCTGCTTAAAATTCCGATAGGTGTATGAGTACACACACGTGTTTATATGTGTGTAAAATATGACAAATTGACTCTGAATTTAACTGTAGTCAGTGACATCAAGAAATTTAAAATAAAAAAGCTGGAGATATATCTTACCAGACAAGACAACTTTTAAAACACTACATTAGCACCTCCCTAGTGGTGCAGGGTTTGGTCAAAGTCTCAGCGTTATTGCCTGCCACTTCAGCACAAGTTTGATATCTGGCAGGGGAGCTGACCCACACAGCACAGCAGACCTCTCCTGTCTTGCTCACTGCTCCCCTCAGCAGTGTATTTCAGTCAATCTGCCTATTCTGCTCCCCACTCTGTCTCTGGTGAATCCTCTTACCCTCCACACCTCTGGCCTACAACCTAGTTCTACATAAAAATATATTTTTTTAAATAAAATAAAAGCACTATATAAGATACCGTAGTATTGAGACCAAAGCATCGGTGGAATAAACACAATCCAAAAACAGCCAAAGATGGCGAATGGATTTATGACAAAGATGTCCTTCAGGAAAAGACAGTTATTTCAACAAGTTGGTGTTAAGATACTAGTTATACAAGAAAAATATAAATCTTAATTCTTATATACTAAAATAAACAAAAATCTGTTCTAAGTTATAGTTCTAAACATAAATCATAAAGATAAAAATAAAGCTTCTAGGAGGTAAGCAGAACATCTTAATAACCCTGGCACAGGCAATGACTTAAAAGAAACAACCACTAATCACAGCGAAAAAACATTGATAAATTAAACTACAACTACAAAGTTGGTAACTTGTATTGATCAAACACATTACAAGAGTGAAAAGACAAGCTGCAAACATATGTAATATTTTGGTTTTTTCAATCACAAATTAGAATCTCAATATGAAAATGAGATTTAATTCACCAAATTAGAGTTGTTGAATGAAGAGTCATGACTGCATGTGTGTCACTATCCAGGCTAAGGCTTGCCACCAGTTCTCTGTACGTCCTCACGTACAGAGGGATCAGAAGCCAGCCGCTACTAAAATCTCTTCAGTGAAGAACACACCAGCCTTACTTTGCCAGAAACAGGACGATTTTTATACTGTGTCTGTTTTCCAGCTTAATTTCATCTAACTTTCAGCAGTACTGGAGAGCGGTAGTCTATCAGTCCCGTCAAGACTCCCAGGGAGGAATCCTCTGGACATTTCAGAGCAGCAGTCGGTCACAACCATACCCTTGACGCTCCCACAGGCTGCGCTTACGTCCCACAGGACCTCTCTGAGCTCTCTGAACAGAAACTGAGGAACTCTAGCACCCAAGCTCAGTGAGCACATCCTGTCGTCTTTTCTTTTTGGTGAAACATGCCAACTTTTATTCACCAATGTGACAGCATGACTGGTCACTTCTCCCTCCCTGACTGTACAATATGCCAGGAATATGAAACAAGCTCTTCTATTCTCCAAAATCTGTTAGGACAGTTTATAATATGCTATGAGGGTGCAAAAAAAGAGAAGAAAGCAGTCTCAAGCTTTCAACATAATGGAATTTTGCTCTGTCTAGTTTAAAGTTTCGCACCAAGTTGGGAAACTGAACACACAAAAACCTGAGACTTCACTCTCTTGAAGAGTGAGTTTGGGGGGCAGCCCAAGGCAAATAGGAATCAAGACAACCCTGGAACCTGGGTGGCCTTTTTCACCCTTTAGGGCCTCGAGATGAAAGGGGTACAGAGGCAAGACAGGCAGAATTTTTGGGGGGGGGTGAGGGTTTCAAATTGAGTATTTTATTAACACGGTAGTTGTTTTTGGAACATGTGGGCAGTGGTGGCCGAGATCTATGCACAGGGACGGCGGTGCTAACTGGCTTCTTACAGAAGTGCACAGGGCAGTGGAACAGTGCTGGGAATTTTACTCACCTAGGTCGACAAAAAGCTGCTTCTCTCCTAAGCTATTCTTCACAACTAAAAACGAAAGATCAGAATTGCTTTGTTCAGCTGACACCAGCCTCTCCAGTTTCTTTGAACTCAATGTCTGGCTCTCGTCTGTATCTTCATCTGTGGATATTTTGCTAAAGGAAACTCCTTGTCTGACTGGTGTTTCAGAGTAAGGGGAAAATCCATGGGCTGTTGTTCCTTGAATCCTATGGTCATCTTCACAGGCAATTAAGTGACAAGCAGGCTGCAAAATCTTTCTCACAAAATTACCTAAAAAAGAAATGATTGACCTAATTTTTCTTTTCCACAAAGTATAACTTAAGATCTAGGCACAAATCTATATGACAGTCTTACTCATCCAAGACCTTATTTTATTTTATTTTTTTTAAAGATTTATTTATTTGTACATACAGAACTGGGGTACAGGCCAGAGGCTCAGGGGTGGTGAGAGGCTTCACCAGAGGCAGAGTGGGGAGCAGAACAGGCAGATCGATGAAGTACACTGCTGAGGGGAGCAGCGGGCGGGTCAGGAGAGGTCTGCCTCGCCATGTGGTCTCCTCCGGGGCAGGCGGGAATCGAACTCATGTGGAAGCAGCTTTAGATTCTCAGTGCAGTGCTTTAACCCGCTGCGCCACCAGGGAGGGCCCCCAAGACCTTATTTTTACTTCTGACTTTAAAATGGACTTCCTTCCTCTTCTTAATTCCCACTGACAGGGAGCTCAATGTCTCTTGTAAAAAATCCTTTTAGGAAGGAAAGTCAATGTGGCTAATTAGATCTGAACCTAATATTCCATCACTAAAAAAGCACCACTTTTATTAATACAAATTGTTTGCAAACTGGAGAGTGCTGGTCTAGCTGCCCCCTGCCAAGGATTCCCGGGTAGGGATCCTCTGGACATTTCAGAGCAGCAGCTGGTCACACCACGGCCTTTGACCCTGTCACAGACTGGGCTTTACTCAATGATTAAAGAATGAAGGGTTTACAAGAGTAAGTGGTGTTCCCCAGATGATGCACAGAAACAGGAAGGATCTCTGCCACACTCCTGTAGTCGGGTGTTGGCAAATTTCTCAGCTTGTTCTTTCCTTTACCTGCTGTACTGTGCACTCAGAACCCCGCACTCAGTCATCAGTTCCAGGGTTCTTGGTTTTCCTGCCTCTTCCTACAGCTGGTTTCAAGACGACTCATGGCCTCATCACTGAAGTTCAGAATTAAAGCAATTAGATAAATTCATTCTATTTCAACTTTTATCCTAAGAACTGAGTGTTAGTGGGCCTATCCTTGGCAATAAATGTTGTAATATAATCTACAACATCTTTAGGTCCTCATATATTACTTACATAAGATATGCTTGGTTAACTTGCCTGTATAAAGTTATGTGTAAATATGCTGAAGAAATAACTAAACAAACTTAAGTTTTATTCTGTAAAACTGTATAGCCTGGATTTTATGTAATTTATTTACCAGATAGCTTGAACCCTAAAACTGTAAGATACAGAAGCTCTAATTTCAAAATTCTTTTTCCAAATTAGAATTACTCTGCTATGCACAGAAATAAATCCATTAGCTTATAAAATACTAATCATCAAAGGGAAAGCAAAAACATTTGATTTGTATAATTATATAAAAACATGACTACCTGTGGACGGAGAGAGAGAAGGCAAATAGAGAAATAAAGTAAGAAATAAATTATGATATACAACAAAGCATAAAAATAAATTGGTCCAGTCAATATTCTTAGAAATGGACACCAGGCAAAATGAGGGCACAGTTGCCATGCCAGCTGTTAGGGTGCTAGTGAGGCCAGCTAGGCCTCTGACCTTTGCAGGGAGCTAACACGGACAGAATATATGACAGCAGAAATACTAATACAAGCTCTTAGCAAACCACTGCTTTCTACTTTCCTTCTCTTATCACATCTACTCTGGTCATGACTCCAGGGACTCCTTTGTTGGCTGGGAAAAACTCAAAAGAACTAGTCAATCATAGGAATTTTGTAGCACTATGTATGGCAGGCTGGCTGAATATACTAGGGAAACCACATATACACATGTTGCTAACATGCTATATGTTCTCTTAAATCCTACTTTCCCACAGTAAGAAACACAAATGCCATCAAATGATAATCTGGAATTGAAGGGAAATGTGGGTTAATTTTCTCCATGACACCCTACTTATCTGATTATGTCTCTCACCCCTACCACAAGAATCCCTGCTCCCCAAACAGACACAAACTCCTCTCCCATAATTTTTGTTTATGCTGTTCTCACAGTAAAGTCCTTATCTTTGTCCATTTGATGGCATTTGAATTAAAGCACAGCTTGAAAGTCATCTCCTTTTAGAAGATGTCTGTAGCAGAAACAGCTTATCATCTGATAAATTTCCATTCTCCCTTTCTTCCCTAGCAACAAATCTCAGTTTTTAGCCTTGTTGCTAGGAGCCAGAGCAGACTGCAAGGAGTAAATAAGAACCAAAGAAATATCGTGTGTAGGACTCTGCCTCCACACCTGAAAGGAGAGCTACTTAGTCATTCACTTAGCAAATTTTGATTAAATGCCTACTCGCATTTCTTATTGCTACTGCTGTTATTGTTCCAGTATTATGATGATAAAGGTGATCTTACATGTTAAGCACTGGAAATACAACAGTGAACAAGAAACAATCCCTGCCCTTAAAAACAACAACATTAAGTCAAAAGCAAAAGAAAAAACACCCAGGAAACTACAATTACTTCCAGAAGTGGTGAATGTTTAGAAATGATAAGCACTAGGAATTTTATGAAAACAATAACCAAGTCTTAGGGTTTGGGACGTTTCTCAGTTTCTGAAACGACACTACGCATACTGAATTTGAGCAGATCAGATGAATTAAACATAATCCATTGAGATCTATCTGTTCAGACTGCAAATCCAAAAGGGCCCAAGCACTAGAGAAAGTGTGACAGCGGTGGACCTAGAGACAAAGCCGTGTGGAGACACATGAGGCTAGAGCATAGCAGACCCTGCTTTGTAAGCTAAGCTACCTGGACCTGCCTCTGGACAACAATCATTCAGGAATTATACAAGTGGTTGATGTTATTATGCATCCTTGAGGTTTTACAAGTGGGTCCCTCTAGCTGACTAAATGGTAGAAACAGAGATGTCAAAGATGACACCAGTGTTTCTACTTGGTAACTGGGTGAGTAATACCACTTACTAATATACAATCACAGGAGAAAAAACAAGTTCAGCTGGAAGTGTCTGTGTGAGGTGGCAGTGGCTGTATGGGCTTAGCATCAACAGTCTGTGCTGAAAGTAAAGATTTGAGAGTCATCAACACACAGATTATAAAGTCATGATAATGAGTGACCAAAGCAACTGATGGACAAAGACTCCGTAATTATCAATAGCTAAGAAAATACAAACAATACAAGAAAATACAAAGAAACAAGGATGGAAATGTCCAACTAAACCTACAGAAAATGGAGTGAGGTGATGTGCTGTGTGTCACTCTAGACCAGGAGACCCAGAGCTACCGTATGCCAGCAGTGCTGTGGTGACTGTGTTCAGTCCCTTACCCTCAGGGGCCCTTGGGACTAACAGAAGTGTGTAGGTCTAAAATGGATAACCTATCACCTAAACCTCAGCAACTTCTTGTTGCGCCCTAGAGCAGTCCTACCCATGCTTTGATAAATATTCGGGATTTGGAGTTCTATTTAGATCTTGGTGTTTGGTTTCTATTCTGCCTCCTGTTTACCCCTCAAACGGACTTCATTGTACACCTGGTTCTGTATTTCTAAAAGTTCACTCCTAGAACAAATTAACCTGTCACACTTTCAGATTTGTACTCTTAGACTCAATCCCAATACTCCGCCTGCAACAATAAATAAGACTTCCGGGTTGTGACTTGGAATCAAAGCCCTAGTCCTCACATACTAAATGCTAAGGTCCAAGCAAGCTGAGCACAGTTAGGAGGGAGGGTACAACTAGCACTTGAACTGGGCCTCTTGTGCATGAACAAGAAAATTCCTGAAATTACTCCAGAAACCAGTACCAGTACGTGCACGGCCACCCCAGAGTCTAGCACAAGAGATGCCAATGCCAAGGGTCTTCTCAGAATGGGTTAATGAGTCTAGAACAGGAGGCATGTCTAGAGGTAGGGGAAAATAACTAAAAACAAAAGATGTTTCATTTTTGAGAGTAAGTTAACAACCATACAACTTGATACAGGATTTTTTTTTAAAAGGAAAATATTTTTTAGTATTAACTCCATGTTTTTTTTTTATTATTAGAAAATGGTATACTACTTACCTACATGAGCATTATCTTTAAATGCCACATCATGGAGCTGAAATATTAAATGGCGGCTAAATTTTTCATCAGTGCTAGAATCCAAGTTGAAAACATCTTCTGCTGAACAATTAACCTTGTATAATTCTTGAAGTGCTTTACAAACATGCTAACAACACAAAATCCAAACAATATCATTTATTATAAAAATTTTTCAATAGCAAAATTCTAGTCTTACAAGTCTAACATTATTTTATTTTCTTACCAGAGTATTTATTAACACAATTTTACCAAGTTACCTATGCACTAAAATACATTAGTGTACATGTTTGTTACAAAAATTCACAGGTTCTTAAGATGAACCTATTAGAAATTGAATAATTTACCTTACACATTAACCTCTGAAAACACAAAAAAAAAAAATCCTGTTTAAAGCATCTCTTTAAATATCATCTGAGTTCTGAAGTTCCTCATCTGTATGGTGCCCAAGGAGGGGCACAGACTCCTGCGTGCCAGGGTGGGGGTGCGGTGTGGTAACAATATACCTGCAGGTGTGTGACCTTATACTTCTAAGTCATACACAGCATTATAAACTAATGTTGCTTCAATTAAAAAAAATACACTTTCTAGAGCTAGATACTGCTGCTACTGACAGCAGCTATGCATTATGGGATGGTGGCAAACACAGGGTTAGAGCACAAGATTTGGAGTCACAAAGATGTAGGTTGAAGTTCTGGCTTTGACACTTGCCAACTCTACACCCAAAAGCTTATAGTCCTCGATTGCAAAACTGGGAATGATCATAGTAACCAACTTTTAGGATTGTTTTAAGGAGTAAATAAAATTAAACTTATTAACACAGGGCTGGAACATTTAACTTTCAAAGCTATTGGGGAGAAAGGTGGCCAGGAAGCAAAATAAATAAATGCACTGTGAACTGCCGAGCACTGCAATACTTAATAGTTTCACAGTAAGATGTACTTATCATTGCCATTTTGACACCTTCTCTGACCTTACTCCTCAGTAAATTCTCACTTCCTCAGAAAAAGTATTCTTAATTTCCCTTTTGACATCAAATTCCCCCATCCTATCTCCATCTGTGTTTACATAGCTACTATTTTTTTTTCTGATAACATTCATGATATTCTTTTTATTTTCATACTAGTAAGATATACACAGATCCCACTATTAGGTTATTAGGTGCTGGAAAGAACAAGTCTTGTAAAAGGAGCATTGGATAGGAATCATGCGTACATAGCTACTATTTTATGCTAACGTGTGTGATTATTCTGACATGTTTCCTGTGTATTATATACAGGTATCCCCTCATTACCTCCTGTCTCTCTGCTGCAGAAATAAAAGCCTGTTTGAATAATTAGCTATCAGGACACTTCTCAGACTCCCTCACAGTAGGTGTGACCGGTGACTAAGTTCTGGCTAATGGGATGTGCAGAAGCAAGTTTTGCCATTTCCAAGTTATAGTCTTAAAGATCAGCATGCCCACTCTTCCCCGTGTTCTACAGCCTACAATGCAAACACAGGGTTAGCCACCCTGGATTATATACAAGGCAACATCTTAAACACAGAGCAACATCTTAGGAACAGCAAAACTACAAGCCTAGCTCCTAGAACAATGGAGCAGCATATAGCTATTACATGAGAGAATTTCTGTCATGTTTAAAGTCATGTTATTTTAGGTCTAAATTAGGATAGCAAACCTATCCTAATTCAGCCAAAAATCCTATGAAAACAGAAGCCATGTCTTTTTTGGTATAACCACTGTACTCAGTGTCTACAGTGACACTTTACTAGAAGCTGAAAATCTTGACAAATGAAGATGAGTTTAGCTCAGCACACTGGATCGATTCATAATCAACTTAATGACTTTAAAGGTAATGTAAGTAATCATTATTTCCCAAACTCTCTTTTCTAAGCTAAACTTTAAATAAAATTATTAAATATTTATAATTATTGTAAAATCCGTAAGTTTAAAGTAAGTGGTTGTTTGAGCAATGTTACCTGTTACCAGTTTTTAAAATGTTTTAGCACCAGAATTTATTCCAATTTGCAGAAGTGACTTATTGAAATTTGTCAGTGAAGTCACTGAGTCAAAGGGTATTGTATCATCAGTTATCAACCATCTGGTAAAAGCTAACCTATTATGCTTTGTCAGAGAATCAAAAGAAAAGAGTACTTATTTTATTATACAGTTATGTACAAAGCAACCAATAAAAAGTTAATTTGAATATAACCACTTATAAAGGTTATATTAAGTGAAATGATCATAATAACTTTCTATCAGCTTGTTAAATAATGCTAAATTTTTCAATTTCTGCTGACATAGCTGATTAGATGGATAAAATGGTATATAAATATGAGAGGAAAACTTTAAGTACTTACATGATCTTTGTTGTACCAGTGTTTATATTAATCTGTTATAAGAGCAATTTGAGTTGTATTGATCCCATCAGGAATAGTTTTATTTTCTAACACTGTGGTACTTCTTTGTTAATGGTGTATTAAAAGTGCCAGTGAATATCTGAGTCTAAATTCCTTGGTCACACAGAGCTCACACAATAAATCCTACCTTTATTATAGTAATATGTCAAAAACCAGGAGTCAAAATCATTATCTATGAATTAGTTAAAACATACTTTAGACTAAAGCTAAAATGTAATTTACTTACTACATGAGGCTTCAATGGTTATTTTAAGAAAAACACAACTTTTTTTTCTGTTATTGTTGGGGAGAAGAATTAATTAAATTTATGGGCCCTCCCTGGTGGTGCAGCGGGTTAAAGCACAGCACTGAGAAGCTAAAGCCACCTCCACATGAGTTCGATCCCCGCCTGCCCCGGAGGTGACCACATGGCGTGGCAGACCTCTTCTGACCCGCCCGCTGCTCCCCTCAGCAGTGTACTTCGTCGATCTGCCTGTTCTGTTCCCCGCTCTGTCTCTGGTGAAGCCTCTCACCGCCCCTGAGCCTCTGGCCTGTACCCCAGTTCTGTATGCACAAATAAATAAATCTTTAAAAAAAAAAAAAAAACAGGATTTCATGCATTTTTCAAATAAATTTAAAACCAGAAATCCAAATCTCAACCTGAATCAAAAATAATTTAATTTGGATACTTTTTTATTTTTTTTTAAGATTTATTTATTCATACAGAACTGGGGTACAGGCCAGAGGTGCAGGGACAGCGAGAGGCTTCACCAGAGACTGAGTGGGGAGCAGAACAGGCAGATCTACCAAGTACACTGCTGAGGGGAGCAGCAGACAAGACAGGAGAGGTCTGCCACGCCATGTGGTCACCTCCGGGGCAGGCGGGGATTGAACTCACGCAGAATCGCCTTAAGCTTCTCAGTGCTGTGCTTCAATCTACCACTCCACCAGGGAGGGCCCTGGATACTTTTTTAATTACAAAATGAATCTTCTAGAATTAATATCTAAGAGAAAAGTTAAATGAAAACATTAATATCTGGCCCTTCCTGGTGGTGCAATGGGTTAAAGCACAGCAATATCAAGCCATCCAAAGCAGAAGAGTTCAATCCTGGGCTAGGGATCCCACATGGCACAGCAGACCTCTCCTGCCTCACCGGCTGCTCCCCTCAGCAGTGTATTTCAGTCAATCTGCCTGTTCTGTTCCCTACTCTTGTCTCTGGTGAAGCCTCTCACCACCCCTATACCTCTGGCCTATAGTGCAGTTCTGCATGCAAAAATAAATAAATCTTAAAAAAAAAAAAAAGGAAAGACATGCAAAAATAAATAAATCTTAAAAATGCAAAATAAATCTGCATCTGCATGCAAAAATAAATAAATCTTAAAAAAAAAAAAAGGAAAGACTAGGCTTTGCCAATAAGCTCTAAGACCTTGAGTAAGGATCGCTCTCTTTAGATCTTTGTTTCCTCACTTATAAAACAAAGCTCCAAAATTCCTGCCAGTTTACAAATTCTGAAACCATTTTTATTAGTTTTCTTGAAGTTATCTCAGTACCTGGTAGTACTGTTTGCCTAGTCTTTACCAGCCAGTTATCTGTAATGTAATTCATAATTTAAAACAAAGAAAATGCCCAAAATGCTGTCTTTTTTACTAAATATAGTAATATTATAAAATCTAAGGACATAAACAGAATCTTCCCATTTTTGCAGTTCACTCACAGAAGTGATACTAACAAATGAATGCCAGAAGGAAAAGTAGCAAGAAAAACCGAACCTAATTATTATACAGGCTATATTCACTTAATGGGTAAATAAGCGAATGAAGATCTACATACAAGGACATAAGAAGAAAAATACAAGTCTGTCATTTACCTCAATGAGTAATGCAACCATTTTTTTCCCATTGGCTCCGGGATTAGCAAGTTTGTTAAATTCCAAATCAAAATAAAGCTTGCATACAGCATTTTCAGGAATGACTTCATAGCAGTGTAAGAGATTTTTTCTGAATTAAATAAATTGATTGTTAGGTTTATATCTTATACCTTTTTAAGTCACAAAAGTTGGCCTAATTCTCAAAATCACTGTTCACTGTGACTTAATGATAAATAACTATGACAATGATTAAGTGAAAAATTATTCACCAAGTTTATGGCTTATAATATCAAAAGCTTCTATCAAACAAGATGTATCAGTCATATTTTATAACCTTTAAGATAGTCAACTTCATACTGCTATTTATCCACAGATGATTTTGATATTATATATATTTTAAAAATATTCTGAATTACCTAACTTCAAGGAATTTTTGGTGCTCATGTTTGCAGTTACATTCTTGCTAACACTGAGATGTACAACTTCATGAGTTAGTAAGAATAGTTGCTGACTTGATAAGTAAATAACTTGTGCTAAGGAAGTTCAGAGGGCATCCTAACACAACAAAAGATTTGCTGTAATTCGAGCAAGGAAAAGGGATGGAGGAATTGTGTCATTATGAACCGCAAATAGTACAGGAACTTCCCTTCCATCCCTCCCTCCCCTCACTCAGCTACTTTCCTCCCAACACCTGGTAAGATAAGTCAGTGTTTCTATGATAAGGTACCTCCAGCATTCAATTCTTACAGAAACGGAGCAACTGGTAATTAGTTGTTTGATTGGGAAATACAAAAACAATTCAATCTGAATTGATTTCACAAACATTGCTAGATGAAGGCAATCAACTTTAAGATATTTTCCTTTACAAACTACTCACCGGAATTTATAGTAAAACCAAAGTTCAGTATATGTTGTTACAAGGTAAACACGTTGTCCATTGCTCCCTTTGTATTCCAGAGCAAATACGTGAACATCCTTCAAAACATGAAAATTTAAAAAAAAGTCAATGCATGTCTAAATTCAACTGTACACTGTACCTATAAAATGTTCATAATTTTACCATTCAAATTTTCAAAACTTGACCTGTATTTCTAAACCATATCCAGTGTTGCAAACCAATGTTACCCCAATTTAAAAAACCTTTTTTAAAATTTCAGAAGCTGAAGTTTGAACATTTGTATTAAAAATAAGAAAAATCACTAGATCTATGCCAATCAAAACCTAGTTACTTGTATTTTCTAATCACTCAAGTAAACATAGGCAGGAATAATAAGTTATAGATACGTAGTATATAGCTCTTAAAGAAGAGAAAGTTACCTCTTTACAGCTTTTAACAAAATTAAAAGCTTGAGCTTGTCGATGAAATAGTTTCCAAATGGAGGGTGGTTCTTCTGACTTGGACAACCTTGGTTTATACACTGAGGACAAAGGTTTCTTCTCATAATAGGCTGCTCGCTCTTCAATTTGCCTCAGTTTTAATTCCCATTTTCTCTTCATTTGTTAAGAAGTATTGGGAGGACAAATCCTATTCCATGTAAGATTTCTATCAATTCTAAAACAAACAACAAGGACATTAATTCCCCTCAACCCCTATCTCTGGTGAATCCTCTCACCAACCCCACCTCTGGCCTATAATCCAGTTCTTCCATGCAAAAATAAAATCTTTGTTTGGATTATATTGTCTCGTAAAACTTCAAAATTCATTTCCCAATGTTGATTCTTGTCTGCTTTATGTTTCATTGTGAGATTAAAGCAGTGCTGATTACCAGAAATCTTTAAACACTGCCCTCCTCCTTCCAATGTACTATGATTTGGGGGCCTTCCTGGTGCACAACAGCACATACAGTACTGTGATGTAGCTGCTTCAGCACGAGTTCAATCCCCTGCCAGGGAGGTGACCCACCCGCTGCTCCCCTCAGCAGTGTATTTCAGTTAATCTGCCTGTCCTATTCCCCACTCTGTCTCTGGTGAATCCTCTCACCGCTTCTGCTCCTCTGGAATGTACCCCAGTTCTGTATGCATAAATAAACATATTTAAAAAAATAATAATGTCCTATAATTTGAAACAAGGCCCCTAGATCTTTTTATTTATTTATGCATACAGAACTGGGGTACAGATCAAAGGTACAGGGACGGTGAGAGGATTTACCAGAAACAGAGTGGGGAGCAGAACAGACAGATGTACTGAAATACATCTGAGGGGAGCAGAAGGTGAGACAGGAGAGGTCTGCTGCACCATGTGGGTCTTCCCTCTGGCTGGGATTGAACTTGTGCTGAAATGGCTGCAGCTAGCTTCATAGTGCTGCACTTCAACCTGCTGAAACACCAGGGAGGGCCCAAGGCCCCTAAATTTTAATGCATTTCAAAATGGGAGTTTTGGTACTTTATGCACTTATCTTGAGGATGTGTTAACATATGAAAATGTTTTATAAATTATGACATCTTATTTAAATATGACTTTTGGCATCATTGTAGTTTTTATCAGAGCCATTTTACTGCATCAAGTGCTATCTCCTTTGCCTAGCTGGCATTACTACCTTGGCCATATTCCTGTGTTACTACTTCTTAGCATCAACTTAACTTGAGACATCAAAGTGCAGCTGTTAACTATTTTACAGTTTCTATCTATTCTTCTCTCCCAACACATCAATGTTGAAGGGATAACAGTATATGAGCGGGAATTCCAATATAAGCTAGCTGGGGCTTTGGATGTCTGTGGTAACCAGAAGTATGATTCTTAAAAAGGGAAAAACAAATCTTAACCCTGTCACTCTAATAACCATATTTTTATTGTTAGTCAATGTGAAATGACCACATTTTTAACCTGTTTACTAACAAGGTGGTTTTGTTTCCATATTAGCAATGACAAGAAGTAGATCTAATTCCTAATTCCATTAGGAATTATGGTTTACTTACAAATGAAAGAGAACAGATTTCTATAAAACAAGAAAGATGGTTTCACTATAGATACTGGACTTGGTCACATAACTTGCTTATATCAGTATCACATCTATAGATGTGAAGTAGCAAATGTTTGTTAACTATTGTGGTTTCATATGTAGCTAATCTGAGAGTCCTGCCATGAGACAGTCTTAACACCAGCTTCAGAAAAGATAAAAGATCACCTGGAGAAGAATCTAGGTACTGCAACTATGAGCCAGCACCAACTATAGGTTACACAAGTTATAGACATATTAGATCATCTAGTCATCATCTGAAATCGATGAGTAAGCAGTCATTCACTCCACTGAAGTGTAAAGAAAATAAATTTGGGCATTTTTTGTTGCTGTTAAGTTTTGGGGCTGGATGTTGATACCTAGGATACTGACAAAAGAAAAAAAAATTCATTTGTAAAGTTACTGATAATGACCAAAGGGTATGTTACACATGAAAGTCATGAAGTCACAGGCGGCCTCCCTAGTGGCCCAGGAGTTAACTCTCATGGCTATCAAGCTATCTCCAGCCACTGCAGCACAAGTTCCATTCCCAGCCAGGGAGCTGACCCACATGGCACAGCAGACCTCTCCTGTGTTGCCTACTGCTCCCCTCAGCAGCGCATATCAGTTAGATCTATCTGTTCTGTTCCCCACTGTCTCCAGTGAATCCTCTTAACCCCTGCATCTCTGGCTACACCCCCAGTTCTTGTATGCATAAATATATAAAACTTCAAAAAAATGTAAAAAGTCATGAACTCACATGAAAAACCAGTTTGGAGAAAACCATGAATGTCAACAGAAAAAAAAGTTTAGTATTTACTTTTTTTTCTGTTGACATTCATGGTTATATTTTTTTTTCATGATTTTATATATATATTACATATATATGCCCTCCTTTGCTCAGCACAGCTTGAAAATTTTAACAGCTGGGTTGAGGGACAGAAGATAACTGGGCCCTGACTACTTGAGCAGAAGGGCTGAATGACAAAGGCAGGGAAAGGGAGACTAGGAAGGCATCCACACTCTGGCTTCAGCCTATCATATTCCTCATCCCTGTCCTCGGGAGAATGTTACCATAGTAGAAATGCTTTTAATTCCTGGTGTAGAGAGAGTGCTTTCTTTCCTAACCTGTCCATTAAAACCCTTATTCATATAGGAACCACACTGTTGTTGGAAACATCTCCCAAATTCCAAAGAAAATTAATGTATTTTTAAATAGTAGGCATAAAAGCATTATTTCTTTTTTCAACAACACACTGAAATGTTTAACCATGTTTGATACTGATTTTACAACTAAAGATGATCAGACTGCAAAAGCAGCTGGTCTAGTGCTTTTAGTGCACTGGCAGTGTGAGAAGGGACAGTATGGAGGGGAACAGATTATGCAGGTTGCCCTCGGGGGCTCTGACTCCTAGTCACTGGGGCCTCCCCAGTGGTACAAGAATTAAATCTCAGCACTTTCAGGCTATCTCCAGCCACTGCAGCACAAGTCCCATCCCCAGCCAGGGAGCTGACCCACATGGCACAGCAGACCTCTCCTGTCTTGCCCCCTGCTCCCCTCAGCAGCATATGCCCAGCCATGACATGTGATGGCTCAGTCCCCAGGGGCACAATGCTTCAGGAACCCCATCTTCACCTGCCATGCCACGATTCTGCCTAGCCGGTCCTAGATTCCTTACTTGGCTAGCTCCCAATTCTAACCTCTCCCTCTGCTCTGAGAAAAGATGTATTTTGTGTTTTGGCACCAGTTCTAGTCTAGTTCTACCATTTGGCATATTTCCTTACATGATCCTTTTTATGGTGTCTTTTTGGACTACATTTACACTATTACTCCCTCTGCTGAGGTAGTCATAAAGTATGTGATTAAAATTCATTTGCAGGCCCTCCCTGGTGGCTCAGCGGGTTAAAGCACTGCACTACGAAGCTGAAACCACTTCCGCATGAGTTCAATTCCCGCCTGCCCCGGAGGTGACCACATAGTGTGGCAGACCTCTCCTGACCGGCCCGCTGCTCCCCTCAGCAGTGTACTTCGTAGATCTGCCTGTTCTGCTCCCCACTCTGTCTCTGG